AGCAGGGGTCCCGACAGCCCCGTCGAGCCCATCATGCAGCCCGTCAGCGTCAGCACACCGCTGCTGTCAATGCTCACAAAAGCGGACTCAGTGTCGTAGAACATCGCACCCACCTCCACGTCGTTGTCGCGCCAATCCAACCAGCTTGACCGCTGAACAGTCCACAAGTCATAGTTACAGATGGCGTATTGCACGGAGCCGCTGTTCCCCACCACGCGCAACACGCTGTGATCCGACACGCTGAATCGGGAGTGCTGATACAATAGGCTTTTCCCGGAGGCCATTGTATTGTTGAGCAGCGCAAAAACAGAGTGATCGCTGACACTGAGGATATTTACGTGGAACAGGTGTGTGTAGCCATCAAAGCTGCAGTACCGCGTGTACAGTGAGCTGCTACCCGCCAGCGTCAGCGTCCCGGTCGAGTACAAACCAAACGCATCACGCTTCGATGCACGCGCATTTACGTTGCTGACCAACAACGAGGACGCACTCAACACAACTTCGTGCAGCATCACAACGCTCAACTTGTTGTTCACTGTGTCCGGCAAATTGACCGAGGGGGACTGCACCGCGTCAACCTCTGTGATGGCAATGTCACAGTGCTGCGGGAGGGCAAGTGCAAAAACAACGGCGGAGAACCGCATCACCGTCTGGCTCACGCGGATCAGGACGCCGGCTGACTCGGCCGCCTCAACATCTCCAAAAAACTGCAGCGCGGCACCCTCACGGAATGTGCACCCAGTGAGCGTGATGTTGATGGGGAGATGCAGCGGCATACTGTCGAAGGAAAACGTCAGCACAGCACCCACGCCGCTGAATGTCACACCCATGTAGCAGTGGTGCGTCTTCCACATGTTCAGCACGAGGTCCGTCAGCGTCTGGTTCACCACGCAGCTCGTGTCGCCGTCAACGGCTCTCTCCGCCACGGACAGCACAACCGCGTCGGGCACCTCGAAGGGAAGACACGACGCGCCATGCCATCCGTCCTTGCAGCCGCACGAGCACGAGCCGCGGTCCACCGACTCCGTCCCAGGCATGTAGCAGGCCGCGTCGTCGTTGCATGTGCCACACCTGAACACCACCACGCGCTTCGGAAACACACCGTCGTACGACACCTCCTTCTCGCCCTGCAGGTTGCACCCAACCACAAACTTCGCGGGTGAAACCACAATCAGGTTCGAATGATCCAGATCAGCAAAAGGATAAATATCTTCCACCTGATGGTTATGTGCAAGCACCACAGTGGTGCCGTCGCCCAACAGCCGAATTTTCTGCTGCGGAAGTGGCATATTCAACACTGAGGCTTCACCCACGCTGTTGCTCTCCACACGCCACTGCGCACCACCCTGGAGAGTCACAGAGCCGGCCAAATACAACAGCGAAGAATCCGAAAACTCCGCGCTGCCAACAAATGTGCAGTCCGCCACTCTCAACAGCCCCGCGGTGCTCACGGTGGTATCCTCATAAAAATAAACGCCGCTGACTGCGCTCATCGTGTTTTTCTCCACATCAAAGTGGCCGCCGTTCTCCACATCAACAGCGTAAACGCAAACACATGATTCCATCCCATCGTCCTCCTCCGTTGTGCTCAGCGTATTTCCCTTCACAATGATTCCGCCACCATCAACAACACCAATGGAGAAATAGACCGCGTAACTATTCCCCTCAATGTGGTTGTCGAGTAGCAGCAGTGTCGAGTTCGCATCAAAAAAAAAATCCGAAAAGGCAATAGCATGACTCGACGTCGTCAAAAGCGTACTGCCCACCACCAGTATCCGGGAGCTAGCACCAAAATCACCCTCAAACTCCAATGCACCAGAATCCAGCATCGAGGATGTCACGTTCACGTGCACGCGCGCACCACTCCCCTTGATCAACAGGCCCACGAGGACGCATTGCAGCAGCGTGATTTTGAGTGTCTGTTGTGGCGCGTCAAAATACAACAGGTCCAGCACAATCGCGGTGGTGAAGGTCACGTTGACGAAGCACAGAACACGCACACCGGGATCAGGATCGTCCAAAGAGCCGATGCTGCCACCGTGCACGCAGCGGACCTCCGTGTCGTCCGCATCGGGGAGCGGAAGCGGTCCAAGACCGTCCGGAACAGCAGCTGGCAGGCACGTGTCATCGTAGCCGCCAGCAGCGCACACACACTCACAGCCGCTGATGCTGCTCGTCCTCGCAGCGAAGCACACGGCATCCACGGTGCACGCACCACAGTCCAACACTGTCACGGGCACTCCAATATTGAGTTCTTCTTGGTAATTCGTCACAGGAGAGCCCATTGCCTCGTTGCAAATGCCGTAGACAATCGGGCACGAGTCGGACGGTGGTGGCCACTTGTTTGTCATGTACGCAGTGGTCGACGAGTACGAGCCATGCGTGAAGTTGCTGTCAAGTATCGACCACACACTCCGATCGCGGAACGCCACGCCGTTCTCGTTTTCCACATACACAACGTAGGCGGTGCGGAACTCGTTGTCGCGGTGCACCAGCCAGCTGCCGTCAGTCACGGTCAGCGTGTTTGCAATGAGCATGGCGAAGCCAAGACGGAAAGTGCTGGACACAACCTGCAGCACGCTGCCGCCATCCAAAACAACATCCCTGAACACACACGCACCTGCATCGTATTCGGTGCTCGGCGCACTCCACGAGCTGTTCTGTACGGAAAACACGGAGCCGCCGCTGACACGCAGGTCCGATGCAAGGGCGTACATCACGTGCACCCGCGACCTGACAGCGCAGTTGTCCATGTAGAAGACGCTGGACAGGGTCACACCGAGGCCGCGCTCCACGAGGATCGCAGCGCACGAGCCCCCACCGCACGCCAGTAACGACCGCGTCATGACAAACCGCGTCGACAGAAGCCGGACACCGTCCAGGACAAGCGCGGGGCCGTACCGGGATCCCGCGTGGCCAGGGGCCGTCTGCACGTACTGCGACCCGCCAACCGTCGCACGCAGCGTTGAGTTCACCAGCAGCACACTCGAGTGCGGCGGCATCGCGCCATGCAGCACGATCGTGCCCTCCAGCGACGTCACGTTCGTCATGTTGACGAGGGCGTGGGGCATCAGGCGCGCCGTGCTCTCGCTGAGGCCGCCAATCCGCAGCTGTGCGCCACCCGCAAGCACGCAGTGGCGCAGCGTCACGTTCAAAGCGTCAGCGAACGCGTCCATCGAGCGCAGGTCCACCGCCACAGTGATCGATCCGCTGAACACCACCGAGTCGAAGCACGCCGTCGCCCGCCCACCGCCAACCGTCACGGACTCCGTCAGCGTCACGCCACTCACGCAATCCTGCGCAGTATCGCCACCACCACCGCCGGCCCTCGCAGGCGGCACGTCGAACGGCAGGCACGCCTCGCCCACACCGCCGGCACGGCAGCTGCACGCGCAGTCGGAGAACGATGCGGTCAGTGCATCAAAGCACGCCAGCGCGGCCGCACAGCCGTCGCACGGCACCACGCTCACGGAGGGCAGGCCGGCCATGCGGTAGTCGCCGCTGCTCCGCAGCACCCGGCCGCCGGCAAGGTTGCACTGCACCGACACGGCGCCGCTCGTGATCGTCAGCCCGGAGACAAGCGTCGCGCCAGTGGCAGCGCAGCGCGCAATCGACACGGCACCGCCGCTCAGCGTCATCCCCGACAGCGATGCCACAGACGACGCCTCGCCCACCGCCCACACTTCGTGCATGTCCAGCCACCCGCCGCCACCGACCGTCCCACCGTCGCAGTGCACCAGCGACGACGCGACAGACCCCTCGACGCCCACGAAGCGCAGCACCGAATCAGACACCGCGAAGCGCTCGCCAAGCACAATGCCGCCGCCGCTGCTCACAACCGACACGTTCGTCACGGAGAACACCGAGTGGCTCCGCAGACTGAGAATCGACGAGGTCGCCACACGCATCGCGGACGCGGTCGGACCGCCCGACGCCTCCAGCGACACGCCGTCAAGCACCACCGCGCTCGACAGCAGGTCCACGCCGCCGCCAACGTACATCGCCGTCCCGCCCGCGTGCAACGACCTCAGCACAGTGTTGCTCACACGCAGCTGCGTCTGCAACAGCGACGTCGCGTACAGCACAAGCGGCGACGCCACCGCGTCCGTCAGCCCGCTCAGCTGGGAGTAGCGCATCGGCCCCGCCGTCACAATCGTCGAGTCACGGACCGTCACGTTCGTGTGTGCCGGCAGGTTGTGCACAAACACAAGGGAGCAATAGCTCCCGGACAGCCCGCTCACGCTCACCTCCAGGCTCCGGTCACTCGCCGGCTCGCCGCTGTAGCCCCGCACGTAGATCTGCGCACCGCCGTCGCACACGCAGTTCCTCAGTTCGATGCGCAGCGCGCCGGGAAGCATCGCCGAAATGTCGAACACCACAGCCATGCCGTTCGTGATGGACACGCCGTCCAGCAGCACCGTGTCCACGGCGCGGCCAACCGTGATGGCTCTGTCCACCGTGCCGCCCCGCAGTCGCACCACCACCGCATGCACTGCGGGCATCCATGCCGCCGCCGCCGCAACAAGCGACAACACAAAAAGAAGCGCCACACGCACAGCCGCAGCGGCCCTGCGCCGCACACGGTGCCGGCCACGCGGACACGTACCCTCCGCAGACCGCATCCACCGACACAAACAGATATCAACAGGGCTGTCGTGGTGTGTCGCACTCACTACGTCGAACGTAGCACCTTTCTAATAAATCCCTTTCTACAAATGGAGAATCCAAAAGCAAAAATCCGATAGATCGCTATACCACTACTAATAATTGTCCTAATACTGCCGCGAGTAATAACTAACACCTTGAAACAATAACTCTGCTGGTCAAGCCAAAGTATCTCTAACTGCACGGTCGGAGAAGGCAGAGGCAGCAACAACAGTAACTAAACACGGTGGCACACAGAAGCATTCGCCCACGCAGCCCCACACAGCCACCGTGCCAAGTAGCGGGCCCAGGCAAAAACAAACATGACCATTGGCGCAGCTAGTGTGACCGATGGGTCAGAACTGCACAAGAAACAACGGAATCATACGCGCACGGCATACACAGGAAGAAAGGAGAATGGAGGAGCACGACGGCAGTACGCGGACACGGGGAAGAAAAGTCCACATCGATTGCACAGTCCGATTGGCTCGCAGCCGTACGGATGGTGGTCGCGCCGCTGCCGCACGGTGCCTTTGGCCTGTGGCTGCTGTGGAGCGAGGAAATGATGAGAGGGAAGAGAGATGCGGTGCGGTCCTCATCCATCTCGGTTGATTGTGACGCCAGCAACGCCCTCCTTTCAGACCACCTGCAGCAAAGACCGTCATCGTCAGCAGCGGTCGGTGCCTTCCTTCTTCACCGACGCCGTCACGCGCCTCCTCCCTCAAAAACACAACGGGGGATCGGCAGCCACACGCAACCGCCAGCACCGAGTGCGAGAGGAGCAACCAACCATACCAATGCATATATCGTGTGGGTGTCGTTGTGTGTGTGTGCCTACGGCCACAAAAAAAAAAGCATCTGAGGGCACACAACCACAGCGGGGCGTCAGAAACAAACAAGCAAGATGAATGGTGAAACGCAACAATGCACGGCTGCCCACGCCGTGGCAAGCCGCGGGACATATGCTGAAAAGCAAAAAAAAAAAGTTAAATCCGTCTTCCATTATGAATTCACTCAAAAACAAGAAAAAACTGCACGCTGGTGTGTTTGTTTCGCCTGCAGATAAAAATAAATAAATAAGATACACTCGTTATAGTCGTTTAAATCCCCGGTGCCCACACATTATTTATACTCCACTGGGGCACTCGGCGTGGTTTCGTGCCCCCATTCCATTGTCTCTTTTATTAGTCGGCGCCATCGGCGTGGCACACAATGCCGAGAGCGCCCATGATCAATAATAATAATAAACACTGAGTAGATCCCGTAATTGTCGGACCACAAAAAAAAAAAAAAAGAGAGAAACCAACACGAAAAAACGCGGTGCTGGCGCTGGGAGAGCATGCTTCCGCATGGAGGAAGAGCTCTGCGCAGCAAAAGGGGATGTAAAATAAAATTAAAACCATATAAAATGAACGGCGCATCCACAGAAAGCGGCAATTACCTAAAAGAGTGCGTGGACAGACGCATATGTTCCCGCTGGAAGCAGGAAGTCCTCACCGCGATTTCTCAGTAAAGGGCCACAAAGGCGCAAAAACCCAGCCCCAGCAGCAGCAACCGCGACACGCCCCCACGCATGGATCCGTCACCGTTTCCTTTTTTATCGTCGCTCTTCCTGACCATTTTTAGTTCACCGACATTCAATGGGCGGTTGTACAGAAAGACGTTCTTCACCGTCACAGGAGACTTTTGCATACCGCACGCGCCAAAGCAAAAGCTTAAATACTCAAGTGGCGTCTCACCTGTTAACAGCGCTTCTTCCTCCCCCAGCGACTTGCCATCAATGTGCACAGAGGCCTTGTTGCCTTGCAGCATGAGGGCCACTTGGTATTCTTTCCCCGCCACCCATGTGCTGCTTTCCGTTGTTGTTTTTGTGTCGCCTTTGACCATCGTCTCCCACTTGCTATCCGCGGTGTACGACAGTCTCATGAGATACTCGGGCCCAGCGTCCCCCAAAATCGCACCCAGTAGAGGAGCGTCCGCAGTCGGAGTCTCTTCGATGGTCACCGACGCCACAAGTGTGAAGTTTTGGCTCAAGGATACATGACGCACATTATCACCCGGAATGTTCACAAGCCACATTACCCTGGAGTCAGGCTCCGTCAACTGAAACCCATCCGCGACCTTCGTGGCGTTCGTCACCGTTGCATTCAGGCAAAGGTACTCGTCGTACCACATGTCATTGCTGGCCGCATCGGACAATACCGCCACAAGACCCGCCGTGGGTATAGACAACTTGGAGAAAAAGGCGTCAAGCTGTGCCCAAGTGCTGAGGACGGACTCGATTTCCTTCAGCTCCTCCGACAGGCGGAAAAGCGACATGACACTGTTTTCACCACTGGCCCTCCGTTGTAAAAGATGCAAATAGCCATCCGAGTACAGCAGGGCGCTGGCGAGCTCCCCCTTCACAGTATTGTCCATGCCAACCGGTCCAACAGAAAACGAGCGGTTGCTGTCCGTCATCCAAAGGTAGAGCGTATTGGCGTTTTCCCCCGAGGCGTACCCTCTCTGTGCGTACAGCATGACCTTCCTGCCCTCAATGGTCGAGGTGATGAGAGCATCCACATGCAAGCCTCCTTCCGAATAGTCTTCCGATTGGGAGTTGACCCACACGCCTGGAAGCGTCCCGATGGCCTCCGTCCACGTTTTCCCCATGTCACGCGACTCGTACACCCTCCGGCCTTTTTCGCAGTCAACAATCATGAGAAGTTTTCCCTCCCACTTGGTGATGTGGGGGTTAAAGCAGTTCGCAGGTGAAATGTCCTCAGAGAGCAACCAGGTACTGCCGTTGTCCTTCGAGTAAATGATCATGGGTAAAACGCCATCATTTTTTTCATTCACCGCCATCAAAGAAAATACAATGGCGCCATCCTCCATCAGAACACCTGAGCCACCAGAAGCAAAAAAACCCGTCCATTCACCTTCGTGAGAAGCAGAAGAGATCAGTTTCGGGAGTGGTCTGGGGTCGCCCCATTTGATCCATTCTCTTGGCTCGCCACCCATGGGCTTCTTGACATCACCCACAACCAGTTTTAGTTCGAATCTGCCCTCTTCCCAACTCCCATTTACATAGGACAAGGCAGTGCTTCCCGCAAGAAGAAACACCTTGTCGCCCTTTGCGATTGTCGTGGGGTGGCGCACAACATCCAAGCTCCCCTCTCCCTCCGCTTTACCAAGCACGGTGTGTGCCCTCCATTCCTTCTTTTTGACCCCACCAACAACAGTGGACCATTCCCACGCAGAGTCGATGTACTCCGCAACAACATCAGAAGACGGCTTAGTTGATTCGTTATGGGGGGGTTTAGCGTTTATGTGACCTTCGGCAAAAGCAGCAATTACTCCACCAGCACTGACGAGAGAGGGTGAAACAAATGAATCCCTCGCCGTACTTGAGCCAGTCCCCGTCTTCGGCAGCACCAGCGTCGTCTGCGGCACAAATAGATCGACCCGTTGCGGCCTCACAACACCCCCTGAAGCGCTCCCCTCAGCAGTAATGTCACCCGTCAATGCCGGCCCAGAAGTTGAAGCATCAGCATTATTTTCCACCTGAGCGGTCGCAGCCCACGGTCGCAGCACAACATCACGAAAAGGAGGAGCAGCAGCACCGCGGAAGCAAACACACGCCGTGACATATTTGGCCTCTGCGGCTCACTCTCGCTTCCTTCCCTCCTCCTTCCGCTGGATCCGGTCACGCGGCGACGGTTGTTTGTGCGGGGTGCCTTCACTGCAGCAACACGTGAGAGCATATAAATATGTGTGTGTGGGCGGTGTGTGTGTGCTGTTGGTTCTTTCAGTGACTTCAATTTCAAAGTGGCAATTCGCGTTTGGTAGTAACTTCCTTCTTGGAGAGGAGCAACAGACAACAGCGGCAACAGATCGGGCACGTCCGTGGGGAGCAGAAGAGAGCACCCACGAGGAGTGCGGAACACAAGACAAGCGCCAGTCTCGGGAAGAGCACAGCCAACGCCATCACCCTGACCGGCAACTCCACACCAGCCCTCACGCACACGCACGCACCATAGCAATGCCGTCAGTCCGCCATGGAAGAGGAGAAGTAACCCACAGCCGGCACACAGCGCACACCGAGCAAGCAATCACCCAAAGAGCCGCACTCAGAAGCGGTCCTCATCCATCCATGACGCGGCGCCTCACTCCATGCGGTCACACGGAGTGCACTGTTTCCTCAACAGAGCTTATTCGCCCTCCATCCCTTTAAGACGCTTCTGTTAGTGATGGGCCTTAGAGCACAGTAAAAGAAAATGGACAATGTAGTACTGTGACACCGCCAGCCACAATGCTTTTTTCATACCGGGGCAATTCTCCAATTGTGCCTCGTACCCACACACAATCAACATGCTATATAAAAATCACCCAATGTCTTTCACCAGAAGCCAAGCAACCCCTTTCCCTCCCTAATTTCTTCTGTCACTGTTATGTTCGATAGCGTTGGACAGTTCTGAAATCTGTGCGATATACTGCCGTCTTGTGCTGATGCACCCGCACCGTACGCACACACAAGTATCCAAAAATATATAACCCCCACAATATTTCTTACCAGAAATCAAAACTACTCCTTCTATTCCCCAATTCGTTCTCCTATTTCGACGGTTATTCCCCACCTCAGAGAGCTTCGCTCCTTCTGGCATCGTCCGACGATATTGCTGCTATGTACTGGTGCACCTCTTCCTCCCAGAACGCCGCAATCTCTCGGTTTTCAGCGCGGCTCACATTATTGGAGTCGACGACATCACATCCCTGCCAGCCTTTCATCGGCGTGCTGTCTGCGTGCTGCACATAAATCATCTCCCACGACAGGTCTCGGGATAACTCCTCCCAACCATTAAAATATGCCGCCAGGCACTCAGTGAACTGCCGCACAGTGCTGGTTGTCGTGTGGTGCCCACCCGCCGTAGTCATCCGCAGCCCAACCAGCGTCATTGGATTTGAGTCCACAAAGAAAAAGGCGTCCACCAGCGGAAAGTTTGTGGCCCACGGTTTGTACAGCACCCAGTGGTCCATAGCAACCGGATTGGAAAGGCGTTCCGGTGGCGGTAGAACCTCTTTTCTGGTGAAGCTCTTGTCTGAGTGCTCTTTCAGCGCACAGCTGTGTGGCTCACGTCGTCCTGGTGGCCTCAGTTCCCTGATTTTGAGTCTTATCGCACGCAGAAAATCCTCATTCAAAAATGCGGATGCGGCATACTTTTCAATAAGATATGGTGGGACATAATCCCAGAACCTCAAAACGAAAAAAATAAAATCGGACTGCTTCATTTCATTCTCCAACCGGGACAAAGTTTCACGTTCGAGGTGGGGAGATATCAATACATTCAGAGGCGACTCAATGCTGTTTCCTCGTCGTACTCGGACAACCTTCACAAGCTTTCGAGACAAGTCACCGTCATTGGACGAGTAACAGCAGCCAATACCCAAATTGCGCTCTAATTCCGAGGCGGTCGACCCATCCACGGCCTGCTGACACGCTTTAATGCGGTCATCATACGCCTGTTTGCCAAAGATGAAGCGGAGAATTGGTCCCACGTTATTCATGCGACCACTCACCTCCTCCCAGTATTCCGCTTGCTCCTGCAGGGGCCAATTGCGTTTCATCCAAACGCACATTGCCCTCACATCGTTTTCTTCGGGACAATTCGTTACGATTGCAGTAGCGTCCATTTTTTTTGTCCACCGTTCATATTCGTTTTTGTCTGGTGGTGTCACCACAATCATGCCCCATCCCCTGCAAGGCAAACCGGCAGGCGGTTGACGACATGCCAATGTCGCATCGTAGATACAATACCCCTTCACCCCACGCAAAGAAAAAATGTTTACAACATCATCAATCCTGGGGTCACCCCTGTATGTTGATACCGTTTTGGTGGTCTTGTCAAACAGAAATGATTGACTCCCAATAAAGTACGCAACCATTGGGAGCTGCTCGACATCGTAGTGCAGCAGCCGGTAGAGGAGGTACGAGCCGACATTCATCGATTTCCCGATCCCGGGCGTCCCAATCAACAGACGCCTCTTGGGCTTAAATTCGGTCCCACGGTGACTGCTGAACCACTCGGTGAGATCGCCCTTGACGATCTGCCACACTCGATCCACCTCACAGTTCACATAGCAGTCACGAGTGGATTTATTCTCCTCCCACGAGTACGGCCACCCCTTGTCCGAGGCGAGCACCATCAGCCTGAGTCGTGGTGCACCGGGTTCCTCCACACCGTCATCCTTTTCGAGGGTGTCGTCAAATTCCCTGTACGTCCATGACTGCGGTGCTTCCCCTTCCCTCACTTCCATTCCCATCCCCTCGCCACCAGGAACCTCCACGACATGGTGCCACCTCGCATTGTACACAGACTCGTAGCATCCCTCCAGTCTAATCGGCGCACTCATCGCCATTGAGCTCATCAATTCAATGAAGGCTGCATCCAAGAAACGTTTGGTGAGGTTATGAACATTTGCTTTTACCTCCTCAGCAGCTAATGACCACTTCAGTAGATTGTCCACACCTTTCTCGTAAAGCTTGCGTACGTCCTCTTCCATATCCATTTCGTCCCTCACAGCCCTCTCCATCCTCTTGTAACGATCCGATTCCTGCATTTTGAGCAGTGAAAACGTAACGCGGATATACCTTGTGGGGTAAATTAAAAAATCCCTCAGCAAGACATTCCGGTTGGCGGGCAAAAAGCCCATGCCGTCCAACTCCATCACAAGAAAATCATTCAATTGCATGTCCATGACGCGAACTCTTCCTTTAAATAGCGCATCTTTGATCGTGGTGGTAACGGTCATTTCTAATTTTTGCCGTCGCCTTGCCCTTTCTTCCGCCCAACGCCTTTCTTCTGCCTCATGCCTTGCCCTTTCTTCCGCCTCACGCCTTTCTTCCACCTCACGCCTTTCTTCTCTCAGTACATGAGAAATAGCTGCGTTTAGTTTTTTCCTTGCAACAGGAGTGACCGTATCCTTTCCCTCATGTTCCCCCCATTGCCTGAGAAAATGCACACCCTCGTGGTGAAGCTTATAAACAGCCTCCCATAGTATTTTCCTTTCCTCCAGCTCTCTTTTCATCTCTCTTTTCAGCTCTCTGTATGACGGCGATGCCTTTATTGTGTGTAATAACTCTTTCTTTTTGATAAACGTCTCGGGATTCTGAACAAAAATCCCCATCGTGACGTTCCCATTTCTTTCCACAACCCACTCCTCGCCCAAGTATCTCCGAATGAATTCATTAAGCCTCATTTTGTACCTGAGAGTGCTTCCCTCCAGCAGAATGTCCTTTATGTAGCTGTACGTGGTCCACTATGGTTGCTGCGACTCCGCTCTTATGTGTGTCGCAGAGGGTTGATCTCTCTTACCCTCAAATTCCTGACTCGCTCTCCTCTGACCTCCCTGCGGCACGGCAGACGCTTGATTTCCAGGCATTGTTTCTCCTTGCTTTATTGGTTGGATTGAGTTAAAGCTGAATACTAGCCACCAAACAAAAAAGAGGAATAAGAAAGACAATAGGCACAGTCATGACTGACAGCCAAAACAAGACTGCCATAAGCGCGGTGTGACGGCACAGTATTCGATGCACGAGGACCACCACAACGAGGAAATGTGGGTGCCATCCACCCAGCACAGTGTTGGTGAGAGCCAACAACAACAACTTGCTGCGCACGGAGGGTTCGCTCACGCATTCCGCTCGCCACGGTTCCGCACCCGTGTGACATCGCCACCACCGCACACACTTGACAAAAGGAAGTGGGCACATCGCCACTGGCACACGAAAACACACAAAAAAGTGGGAAGGAGAATTCGCTGCAGCAACAGCTACATGCAGGGAGCACAAATCATACACTCCACAACAGCGATGCATCATGGTAAGTTCCCACACAACAGAAAAGAGCGCAACTTGCATGCTTTATGGAAAATATCTGCGGTGTGCATGGCAAAAGAGTGCCGTGACGCTGCATTTCATATTGCATTCGCCATTCACATCCCACTTGGGAGCACGCAGCCACTACTCCTCCGCTACACTCCCCGTGCTGCTCGTGTCGCTCCACTGGAGGAAGTTGTCACCGCACATCCCCCTCACCGTGCATTGCGGAATACAAACCTGCCACACGGCATGGGTGCGGCGCCGCCCCGCCAATAAATCCCAGGAAATTCCCCACTGCCTCGTGTGGCACGGTCGGCAGTATCATTATGCCTGCAGAAGGCTTTTTTTCCAATCAATAACGCGGCCCCACCACACGCCCGTAAGAACGTTTGGTCCGTTGCAGCAGACACTCCCACCTCCTGGGCGTGTGCGGCCCCTCGCTGCTCGGCGCTCTAAGTGGAATCACCAAAAGCACCAATTCGGGAACATTCGACCACCGCCACAGCAGTCACGCTCCCCATTTCTCACAAAGGCAAAGGCTTGCAGTGGCGCAGCGGACAGCGGCATGCACAGTCGCAGAGTATTGGACTGCCGCGGGAATCACGCAACGGCGATGCGCCCCTCCTTTGGGAAGCCCAACAAAAAACATGTGTCGCGCAGTCCCCGTGAGCAACACACGTTGAACCGTATTCAGCTCCCCTACTGTGGCCATCCGCACACACAGCATGAGTGCGACAACGCAGGCCAGGAAGCACGGAATAACAGCACGCATCCCTCCAATAAAGGTCAGGCGGCGTCCGTGCTGCCTTCAACAATAACTCCACCCCACATCACCCCTCTGCATATCCGCAGCAAAAAGGCCCACACGGTGCACACCACATTAGGAGTTCCTAAAGAGCAAGCCGGATCATCAGAGCGCTGCCCTCATCTCAATGTTGGGTAGAGGCTCTCTGATCATTGTCGCCGCCAGCCTGCGGTATTATGGAGGGGCATCGCGTTCTCGGCATATCTCTCCATTTACTTCACTTTCCCGACGCCGCAAATGAAGTGATGTCCCACAAGCAATTTCGACCGTTCCGAAGAACGTGACGTGACAGACTCACTGAAACTGCGCGTGTGTGTGTTATTACGGGCGAGCGACACAATGCTCTTGCACATCCATGTATTCCAATCCTGCGCAACACCCCATTTGGCGGTGCGGAAAACGTTAGACACCGAACACGCACAAATCGCACAATGAATGCCCCTGGAAAAAATAATAGCAATAACGTCAACACAGACACAGTGGCCGAACAGATTAACAAAAGAAAAACAACCTCTGCGCGCCCTCCCGCAAGAAGATGAAGACACGCACACTTGTTCCCTTTAGTTTCACCCCAACTGCTCGGAATTGATAGGTCTATAGTAGGAGGAAACACGCCACTCTTCCCTCGCTCCCTGTCACGAGGCATGGATGCTGCGAGAGGCTGCCAAGATGAGCCTCACGTGTGTGGAGGACCCCAATGCTCGGGGCAGGTCGACAGCCACCCACACTCACCCCCACACAAAAGGGCAAAGGCATGGAGAAGAGAAGCCCGCCGCACGGCGCATTCAAGAAGGCACACGCAGAAGCACCGCCATCCACATCGTACCGCAAAACAGCAATGCGAACAGCACACACCCACAGCCGCAACAAGAGGAGCGAGGCGCATCCAAGTCCACCACAGTCCTTTACTTCTCTCCGCCCCGAAGGAATAGCGTTACGCCTCACAGCAGGTCGTGGCGGTGGCGCCCCACACTCACAGTGAGGCACGGCGCACACCATCCGCTCCCCTCCGAGCGCACTCAACAGGCCGGGGCACGGCGTCCAGCCAATCTGTTGACATCGCAATGGGGGAACACAAACAATCGTCGTCGCGAACCATCGATGCCTCTAGCGGAAAAGAAAAAGTGATGAGGGAGTGTCAACAGCACAGCTAGCAGTGGGACACCCAATGGAACAAAAAGACACATAGTGGCATTCAGCACAGCAAACAATAAAACAAGCCGCAGCGAATTACCGAATACAGAAAAACAAGAAAAAAGGCGTAGGTTCAGCAGAAATAAATAAATAATAAAGAAAAAAAAACTAAATCACCTCAGTGGAATTTCGTTTCGTGTATCCCTCAGTGCAGCAGGAATTGTGCATCTCCATATGTTTCTTACAGAGAGGGGAAAAAAAGATCGCAGTGTTCCACGTGTCCACACGAAATCCCTCACATTTCATGAGGCACTCGGCCTCTTCCTCCACCCCTCGTTTTGTACAGTCCGCGGGACGCACAGCAATGAGGCCGGCACCGCGTGCGGTGAAACAAAAGCAAATAAAACAGGGGGAAGCACGTCACTCATGAGAGTGTGCAGCTAGCGGCAAACAAAAAATAAATTAAAAAAATAGTAAAAAGGCAGGGGTTCTGATCCCTCCTAAAAAGCACCAGCAGCACATTATATCCAGAGGTGAAAACAAAAGGGATAAATAAAAATTCCTCAACGGAGTGCATTGAGTCTTCCTGAGGAGCTGCACACCCCTTTCCACGGGGAGTCGCGGCTCCGCTCCCGCCGTCTCACACAGCTGAGAGCTGCAATGCCCAGAGCCCCAGAAAAAGAAGCAACAAGATCCGAGACACACACACACACACCGTGCCGTAGCCACTAGAGCCCTTCTCCAAAAAAGTGTTGTTCGTGAGCTGAGAGGCGTTTCCATCTTTGGAGCCACTGTCAGTTCCCGCTGGATCATCCGGCCCTTCAAGCATTTTTCCAGAAAGAGACTCTGGAGGAGAAAGGCTGCTGGCACCAACTTTTGCGGCTTCTTCCCGGGTCAATATGCGGTTGTACAAAAAGACACTCGTCACTGTCAAATACTTGTTTTGGCTCCCGGTGTCGCTTGCACTGCTCCCATCCCCTCCAATGTAAAAGTGTGAATTCGCGCGTGGCCCCTTTCCCGATGATTATGTCGTTTTAGCACCCCACACATACTCACCATTGATCTATACGAAGGCCTTGTTGGCGGTCCTGCAGCGTGAGCTCCACTCGTTATTGTTTGTTCAACTCCCAAAAGCCGGTGTGTTTGTTTGCGTTGAGCATCCCCAACTCCCTTCATGGCTGTGCGACAGTCAAAAGTGCACAGTGCGGCCTGCTCCCTTCGCGCCAATCAAAGGGATACTCTTGACGCCCGCGTGTGTCTCGCAAATAGCCGCCGTCGCCACAAGAGCGAATTCGTAATTCACAAAGCCACAGTGATTATTATCCTCCCAACGGTTCACGGGGCAATGTTGCCCTGCGAATTGAGGCCCATTTGTGACATTCTTGCCATTCGTCACCGTTGCAATCACGCAGCGGCACTATTCGATACACGTGTTGGCAGTGCCTGCGTTGGAAAGGTATCCAACCAGACCCACCGTACTTACGGGCGACGCGGAGAAGGAAGCGTCCACGTCCGCCCAATTACGGGGAATGGAAGTGATCATCTGCAGCTCCTCCGTCAGGGGGGCAGGAAACAGGCTGCTTTTCTCTTCATTGTGCCTCGCTCCCACAAGGTGCAACACACCATCCGAGTACAGCATGGCGTTGGCAATCGGCTTATTCACAGCAGCCTCCATGTAAGCCGGTCCAACACAAAACACGCGGTTGCTGTCAGTCACCCAAACGTAGAGCGCATGGGCCTCACTCTCCCACCACGGGGAGCTCACTTTCCGAGCCTACAGCATGACGCTCTTTCCTCCAACGGTCGCAGTGACAATGGCTCCCACACGCAAGCTCTTTTTCCAAAGAACCGATTGTGAATTGGTCCAAACGCCTGCAATTGCCCCGGGTACTTCCACCCACATTGTCCCCTTGTCACGTGACTCGTGCACTCTGCAGTACCGGCTCCCATAGCAATGAGTAATCACGAGAAGCTGTCCCTGCTCCCACTCGGCAATGAGAAGGTCAATGCAGTCCGCAGGAAGAATGCCCCTTGAAAGCACTCAGCTGCTGCCGCCGTCCGTCGAACAGATGATCATGGAGAAGTCATCCTTTTCGTCATTATACGCAATCACGGGGACACAAGCGTGCCATTCAAAACGCCTGAGCCACAAAAAACATTCAATCCATTCGCGCCGCGTTCGTGAGTCTCGGGAATGATCTGTGATCACAGCAATTTGGGTTCACACCAGTGGATCAGCTCGCTCCGTCTTCCGTCATTGGGCTGCGTGAATTCACCCACAACCAGTTGAACATCACGGTCTCTCAACGCCCAATTGAACCCACCATTCGTACCAAACTTTTGCTAGCTTCCCGCACGAAGAAACGCCCTATTGCCGCTCTCAAATGCCGTGGGATTGGACGCGGAGTCTACACCGCCCTTTATATTCGCTGTGCTCAA